GGGCCCTAACCACAGTTCAATAAAGCTTTTCTAGGATTTATTTTATTTTATTTTTATTTTTTATCCTCACCCAAGGATATTTTTTTCCATTTTTTGTACAGATAGAGCGGGAGGGAGAGAGAGGAAGGGAGAGAGAGAGAAACATCGACGTGAAGGGACACATCGAGTGGCTGCCACCCGCACGACCAACCAGGGCCGGGGACAAACTTGCAACCGAAGTACGTGCCCTTAGCGGGAACCGAACCCAGGTCTCTCCGGACCGCAGGCCGACGCTCTAATTGCTGAGCCAAACCAGCCAGGGCTAGGATTTATTTTATTCTTATGCTCCCACAAAGCCAAAAATGAAACTGAGCAGTTTCTAAGCAGATCTGTGCCTCGAGCTTGTGACAACTGTGCCATTCAGATCGCCTGGTTGGTGCCCTGCCTAGACATCCCCCCTCCAGGCCCTGTTCCTCGACCCTGGCTTCTCACAGGCCACATTGTTCTGCTGGCCATTGTGGGCACCCACCCCTCCACACAGCACCAGCACCATGACCATCAATGTGCTTCCTTCCAGGACCAACACAAGGACTCACTACTAACCTGCTGCACCTGCTTGACCCCACCTGCTCTCATGTTACATGAAGGCTATAGAGAAGACCCTAATGCAGGAAAGAATGGTTTAGCTGCTGGAGTTGTAGCCAAGTTTGGTCCACCCGGTTTTGTCTCAATGTTCACCTTCAAATGGAACTCTCCACCCTCTATCCTGCTTCTGAAGACAAAAACATGCGGTCTCTCAAAACCCATGAATGTGAGCTTGGTCCTCTGCCATCTCAGTACTCAATTTCAGACCCGTTCCCCTTCCCACGTGGTTTCTACCCCACTTTCTTCACATTTTCCCAGAACAAGATGTCACAAAGGCCACAGGGCCCAGCTGACCCTCCCGGGTAAGAGGTTTCTGGAAATGTGTTCAGACCAGATGTGTTCAGCATCTTGACTGGGAGCATCCTGTGCCGAGCATCCTAGGTCTGGGACAGGCCAGATGTGTGACTGCACAACCTCAGGCAGTCCTGAGACACGTCCCACCTGGGAGGAGGCCCGAGGATCTCTCTCCCAGTGTGGCTTGGATCCCAAATGCTCTAGTCCTGACGTGAGAATTTGAGGACCCCACCCCAAACCAGAGAACCACAGGATATCACACACAGAACCCCCACACACACCCTGGATCCCTCCTTCAGCCCATGTTTTTCCCCATCTTGAGCCTTGGTTCTGTTGCTCATCTACCATGACTAAAGTCCCCAGTGTCACTCACAAGCAGGGGTTTCTTGCTCTGGGTGGTGTCCCCTCCTCTCCTGTGTGAGTGTGGGCATCTAAGAGCTGACCAGGTGACAGCAGGTGGGGTTGGGAAAACACAGAGACGCTCGAGAGATGGACTGTTTCTCCCACATCTGCAGCTACTCCTCATCTTCCCCAAACCACACAGCCAAGGAGTTGTGATTGAGAACTCTGATAACTCAGCTCAGTTATAGAGTCTGTCTTTAAAATTTGTTTTGAATTGCTACAATTTAAAAACGTAACTCCCTCAAATCAACATGCCTCTTAACATCTAGGAGGCAATTTGGAAGAAATATAATTTTAAAATTGGCTCTAAAGGGAAATCTTAATCCATAGAGTACAAAGAATAGGAGTCTCTGTGGAAACATAAGTCTTCCAACACCCTTAAAAACCTAAAGGTCCCCCAGGACTGGTATTTGGAAAAAAAAAAAATTAGTCTTCAATAATAATAAGAAATCACCCAGGGAACATTCTGACTAGCTCTGGAAAGTGCCAACATTTATTATTACTTGTACTGAACTTCTCAAAAGATACAGCCAAGCTGATTTCCAACAGGGCAAAAATAAAATAGGGTTTCACTGATAAAGTGCCTACAGTGTGTGTTCAGTTAAGTGCATTCCTTTTAATATTTCACTTCAGAAGTTTTCCAATGCATCATTTGTTGTATTTGTAACCAGAATGCACACAATTTTCTTGCCTTTTACACTTACCACCCATTTCCCTAAGCTTTCCACAAACATCAGCTGTAAGGCCCAAGTCTCTAACCTGATTTTCATAAGCTCTCCTAATTGTAACAGAAAACCTTCATATAAATTTCTTAAAGATGCTTTTAAACTCTGTAAAAAATAAAAAATACATAAAGCCTTAATTAGTTTTTCAAAAGTGAAAATGACATGAAAAGGTGTTCAATTCGCAAAGCAATTTTAAAACTAAGGGAAGGTGAGAGCCATATTTCTGCTCTGGTAGCGTGATAAAATTGTGAGGAAATGAGAATTTTATAAGTATTTTCTGAAAGGCAGTCTGGCAAAAATGTATGAAAATGTGTACCTTTGACTCAGCAATTCCACATCCGGGAATTTATGCTAAGGAAATAACCAGAAAAGTGTGCAGTTGTTCACATGGCACAAGGATGCTGACATTGTAAGACTGAAAAATAGAAAACCTAACTGTCTATGAATGGGAGACAGGCTACAAGTCACCATGCTCCCCCCCCCCCATCCCTCTGGATCCCTGGGCTCAGTTCACAACCACCGGCCATCACTCCACAGGAAGATGTATTCAGATTCAATACACCAAAACGAAAGTGGGCCCTGGCCAGGTAGCTCAGTTGGCTAGAGTGTCATCCCGATACATCAAAGTTATGGGTTCTATCCCCAGTCAGGGCACTCACAAGAAGCAACCAATGAATGAATGAATAAGTGGAGCAACAAATCGATGTCTCTCTCTTTCAATAATTATAATTTAAAAAGAACGCAGAAATAAGGACTGAAATCAGACTATGTTCATAATATGATGTGAAGAGAGGTTACAAAGCTTCATTTTGAACTCCCTTAAGTGTGGGTATTAGACACAGAAAAACGGTATTTAGAGTGATCTTCATCTTCTGTATTTCCTACAGTGAGAATTTTGCAATAAGCAAACACTATTTTAACAAAAGAAAACACCCCCCAAGTAGGTATTTTAGAAATTAAAGATTCATGTATAAAATAACCTTACGTGTTACCCTAAACTTACCTCCTTTGTCCTCATTCTGAGGCTGTCCTTTTGATGAGTAAATTTGAAAGATAGTAAACAAAAGAATTCCTACTCTGGCTCTTTTCACCCCGCTTTCCACAGGAGACCCAATGCTGTGCTAGCTCCCACCACTATGAACTAGAAAGGACTTGCTATCTTTTTTTTTTTTTAATTAATTTTAAAAAGAGGAAGAAGGGAGGAAGGTGGGGGAGGAGGGAGAGAGAGAAATGAAGGGAGGGAGGGAGGGAGGCAGGGAGGGAGGGAGGCAGGGAGGGAGGGAAAAAGGGAAGGAGGGAGGGGGAGAGGGGGAGGCAGGCATGGATAAATTGTTTCACTTACATAGGTACTCATTGGTTTTTTGTGTGTGTCCTGACCCTGGACCAATCTGCAACATTGGTGTATCTAGATGCTCTAACCAATCCCACCAAGGCCAGGACTTGTCATCTTGTAGCCACTTGTCCCAGGGAATCAGAAAGGCATGACTTTGAAACTGATTTGCAACTAACCAGGTTGCTGCAGATAATTTTTTAAGTTTTCCTTTCCCAAGATTTCACCCCAACTTTGTTATGCACATACCTATAGCAGAAGGTCTTAAAGGATCACTATCCAGAACCAGCAGGATGAGGTTGTCTCCATAGTAATTATTATTCTAAATATATTAAATCTCATTTTCCTTGAGTAATTTTCCAGGAGTGTGAACGTTGCCTTGTTTTGCTTAAATTCACCAAACTTTAAATGACTGAACACATAGATGCAACTGGGAGATGTGACCCAAACATAGTATAATTCCAACACATTTCTAGTTTTAAAATAACTTCACAGTTTAAAAACTTAGTTTAAAAATAACCTTCACAAAGACGACTTAGGTTCAAAGCACATCACATTCTACCAAAAAACGACATTAAGTTAATAGTGTGGACAGCGTGGTGGATGTTGGGAAGAATCAAACTCATAATTAGCAGATCAAGGCCAGACACCTCCAGCTTCCTAAGAAAATCAGAGCGTGGGGGAGTCTCTACTCTTCCAAGCACGCAGGAGGGCCAAAGCAGGACTGACGAGAGCAGCCTGGCACTGCTGTCCTTGAATGTCCACATACAGAAAACTGTGGGAGAAAAGGCAGTTTCAACTGTTTTACTAACCATGTTGATGTGCATACCGAACTTCAACAATAAGACAAGCGATCAAGGGAAAAAAAAAAAAAACAGCAGAATTAACTTTCACTACACACACAACACCAGGGCCACAAGAGAGGCGTTAGTATTCCAATATAAACCAGTAGTTCCAACCCGACTGCAGTCCAGAAACGACCGCCTGGAGGCTTTCAAGGGGATTGGGAGAGCTTTTTACCTGTCACCTGAAAATGTCTATGGGAGCAAAGACACAAATTCACGAGGTTAATAAAATAGGCCGTTCCCACCCCCGCCACCCCTCCCTTTCAAGCCTCTTCCTTCCTAAGGGCCTGTCGTGCGGGTTTTCCAGCAGGTCTGAGAAGCGACGACACGCCCCGGGGACAGCCGTCAGACACTCACTGCCATCTTCTAGACCCTAATCTTGGGCTCGGGCTTCTCGCCTCCCCGATGAGCCTTTTTATCTCAGACCCCGTTTCCAGATGCACAGACATGCGTGCAACGTGGGCGCACAGAGCGCCGGCCTTCCGATTTACTAGGGCCTTTGGCGCTCGCGACACCTGGGAACCTTTGCGCTTAGAACCTGAGTTTTCCCGCGATGCTGAGCACACGTGGGGGCTCCGCGCGGCCGACCGAGTCCTGTCCACCCCTCGCAGCTCTCGGTACCTGGAGCCAATGAGTCTGGACCGGGCAGCCCCTCGGGCTTCCTTCGGGGGCGACGCCGCCTCTGCCCAGCTCGGGTGGGTCAGGAGGGCCGGCCGGGCACCGAGGGCCGGCCGCTCGGGTCCCACGGGGCGCGCTGGGCCAGGGCGGAGGCCCACCTACCTGAGGATGTTGTGCGCCTCCATGCTGCGGTTCTGGTTGCTCGAGCAGACCACCGCCACCCGCAGCGGCGACGACGGCATGGCGGTGGCCTCACCGTCCGCGCCCTCCGGCTCGGGGCTCCCACCCAGCCGCGGCTCTTCCGCGCGGGCAAGATGGCGGCCGCGGCTCCCGGAAGTCATGACGCGAAGCAGCGGCGCCGGCGACGTATCGCGTCGGGACGCGAGGCGCGGGCCGGTACTCGGCGTTCCGCAGGCCTCCCCGCGCGGTCTTGGATCCCAGGCAGCCGGCGGAGGGAGGCCCACTCCACGGGCGCCGGACTGGAGAGCACGCCTCTGCTCCGGGTGTGCGCAGGCCACGCCCGCGTTCCTCACAGCAGCTACTCGCCGACCCGCGTCGGCGTGGTGACGTCACAAGGACACGCCGCCGTCGCCGAGAATGACGCATGAGGCGTCACGAACGTCCCGTCGTTGTCCCCGGAAGTGATGCTACGCCGGCCCAGACTGGTGTGTGAGATGGCTGGATGCGACCGGGCGCCTCTCGGGGCGGCCCCACGCGCTCCCTAGTACCCGTGGGACCCTCGGCCAGCCCCAGAGATCCTCCACGTCCCCTTTTCGCTGCCCGCGGCTTTTCTGGAACGACACACTGCCTCCCACCGCCTCCCGACGCCAGGCTCGCGCAGGCGTCCGCCAGCGCCCTCCGGCGGCAACCCTGCAAACTGTAACCTGAAATGCATTGACACGTGTTGGGAGAGAGGGTTAGGGAGGAAGCCTAGGTGATGTCAGGTTTCCACACTGATGACGGAGATCTTAACCAAGACAGGTCGTGTGGGAGGAGCTCCCACACCCCGGTCCTCGAGAGAACCTGCAGGGACAGCTCCCGGGACGGGACTGAGCTCCGCGGTGGTGACTGCACCTGCCCGCAACTTCCGCTTCTGCTCTCGAATGTACTTCCTCCATCTTCCTCCGTGCGGAAACCTCCATGGGGCTGCCTGGGGCTGCCCGTACAGAATTAGTCTTCCTCCCGACCCCCAAATAAATCTTTTTTGCTGAATGAACACCTGGCCGACTTTTTATTTATGTCCAGCATATTTGGGGCTCATCGGGAGCCAGAGACGACTCCCCCATAGCTCCAGGGCTGGGGAGCCAACAGGTGTGGCGCCCACAGGCCCATCTAAGTTCCCTTTTTTCTCCACGGCTCGGGAGCCAAAGGGTAAGTGTTCTCCTGGATCCAGCTTCTGCTTGTTGTGTTCTGAAGCTCTCCAGGCTTTATTCGGGTTCTGATTAGAGTTTTCGGGGGGTTTGTGTCTTTTTTTTTGTTTTTTGTTTTCTGTTCAAGGGCTTGTTTGTTTGGGCTCTCCTTTGACACTTTGTCTGGACCCGTAGGGGATCAGGCTGTTTCTTGGGACTGGTTCATTTATTCCAGCTGCAGTCTGCTCCTATCTGGAACCAGACTGCCCCACTGAAACCGTGTCATTCAGCCATTGGCCAGGTGGGGAGGAGAGACTGCTGGTCCAAGACATGACCTCTACCTGACCCTCCTGCTGGACCCACCAGTGGGGAGATTGTTTGCTTCACACCTCCCTGGAAACTGTTGAAACAAGCCAGCCTCCATCCCTTGCCTCCTGCCATATGCCAGGTCCTGGGATGTTACCTGTACCTGGGAATAGTTAGGAGTACTGTAAGTACTCTGTCTTGACCTATATAGTTGTCTAGCACCTGCTAAGTGGTGCCAGGATCCACTCATCTGGCCCACGCCCAAGGCACCAGTCAGTGTATGAGTTTCTTTTAATACATTTTACCGGTTGTCAGACAAGTAACAGCTTCTTCCTCCTTCCTCTGTCTTTCCCTGACCTTTGCTTACAGAGGTAGATTTCCAGTCTCAGGGCCTTTCCCTAGGTCTGTCTGCACTGACACCAGGCTCTTTGAAGAGTAGGCTGTCTCTACAGAACTGGCTGTTCAGCTGTCGGCTGACCTTTCAGTGACCAGGCTGTTCTAAGGTGAGGCTATTCTCAGTGAGACTGGCCAGTACTGAGCCTGCAGGGCTATTTAGGACCATTGCTCTAGAGAAAAATGTGAAAAATGGAGTCTCAGAATATTTTCAAGCTGTCCCTCCTACATGGACTCTGGCTGAATTTATGTTTAAAAACCATGGTCCTGCCCTGGCCGGTTTGGCTCAGCGGTTAGAGCGTCGGCCTGCGGTCCAGAGAGACCGGGTACGGTTCCCACTAGGGCACGTACCTCGGTTGCAGTTTGTCCCCGGCCCTGGTTGGGTCGTGCAGGTGGCAGCCACTCGATGTGTCCCTTTCACGTCGATTTTCTCTCTTTTCCTCTCTTTCCCACTTTATCTGAACAAAAAAAAATGGAAAAAATGTCCTCGGCTGAGGATGAAAAAAAAACAAAAAAACATGGTTTCCCTGGCTGGTTTGGCTCAGCAGTTGGAGCGTTGGCCTGTGGACCAGAGAGTCTCAGGTTTGGTTTCCACCAGGGGCACGTACCAAATAATAAAATAAAATAAAAATAAATAAAAACTACGGTCCCTACTCGTGTGTATTTTTTAACTAAATGGACAACATGACCAAAAGTGATTTGGACTATCAGTAGTTATCACGGGAAACCTTTGAGATTCCCAAACTTACTTTTCTTAACACCGAATTGGACAGTCATAGTTCTGAAATTACCAAAACGAAATGAAACACCTGTTTTGAGTGGCATTTTGAGGCTTCCGGGCATAACGAGGGATCCGAAGTTGCCTGTTTGCGAAATAAAGTTTCACAATTAACTGAGGCCAAAAAACTTAATGAGAAGATGGCTTTGGAAGCCTCCTGTTTGTTGCCTCCGATGCGGGCTCGCCTCCCCCCTGGACCCACCTTGCTCAGGCTCCATCTCTGGAGCCATCTGGCTTCCTCTCCAGCTTCTTCCCCTCCCACTCCAGCTCCACCTCTGGTACCGTTCTCAGCTGAACCTTCCCTCACTCCCTCCTCTGTACCTATCAGTACTGGGCCTTTTAGAAGTAGGCCCTCTGCCTGGCCGGTTTGGCTCAGAGGTTGAGCGTTGACTCTTGCACCAAGAGGTCACTGGTTCGATTCCCGGTCAGGGCACATGCCCAGATTGTAGGCCAAATCCCCAGTGGGGGGCATGCAGGAGGTAGCCAATTGATGGTCTCTCTCCCTTCCTCTCTCTCAAAGCAATAAAGAATAAAAATTATTTTTAAAAAGAAGTAAGCCCTCTGCCTGGCTGGTTTGGCTCAGAGGTTGAGCGTCAACCTATGCACCGAAAGGTCGATGGTTCGATTCCCAGTTGGGGCACATGCCCATGTTGTAGGCTCAATCCTCAGTAGGGAGCATGAAGGATCATGCAGCCGATCAATGTTTCTCTCTCATTGATGTTTCTATCTCTCCCTCTCCCTCTCTTTCTCCCTTCCTTTCTCTCTAAAAATCAATAAAAACATTTAAATTAAATTAGCCCTGGCCAGTTTGACTCAGCAGTTAGAGCATCGGCCTGCGGACCAGAGAGTCCCGGGTTCAGTTCCTGCTAAGAGCACATACCTCGGTTGTGGTTTCTCCCTGGCTCCGGTTGGGGTCATGTGGGTGGTGACCACTCGATGTGTCTCTCTCACATCAATATTTCTCTCTCTCCCTCCTGCTCTATCTCAAGATAGATGCAAAAATGTCCTCTGGTGAGGTTTAAAAAATTTAAATTACCCCTAGCCCGTTTGGCTCGGTGGTTAGAGCGTTGGCCTGCAGTCCAGAGAGACCCAGGTTCGGTTCCTGCTAAGGGCACATACCTTGGTTGCAGTTTGTCCCTGGCCCTGGTTGGGTCGTGCGGGTGGCAGCCACTTGATGTGTCCCTTTCACATCGATGTTTCTCTCTCTCCCTCTCCCTCTCTTTCTTTCTCTCTCCCTCCCTCCCTCCCACTCTATCTGAACAAAAAATGGGGGAAAAAAAAGTCCACGGGTGAGGATAAAAAAAAAAAAAATTAAGCTCTCTGAGGATCCTAATAAAGCCCAAGTTTCCTTTGTTCCCTGACTCATGCTGACTTGTGAGCCCTAGTAGGGCCTTCCCTAAGGTGAGTGAGGATCCTCACAGATTTGCTGAAGCGTTTGACATGGTTATTCAAACCTACCAACCTGGGTTCTCTACTTTTTAAAAATACATAGATGTTTTTATTGATTTTTTAGAGAGAGAGGAAGGGAGAAAGAGATAAAAACATCGATATGAGACAGAAACATCCATCGGCTGCCTCCTGCACACCCCTCACTGGGGATCGAGCCCAAAACCCAGGCACGTGCCCTGACTGGGAATCGAACCATCTCAGCCAGGGGATGACGCTCAGTCCACTGAGCCACGCTGGCTGGGCCTGGCTTCTCTGCTTTGTATCAGCTTCAGCTATGCTTGCTGGTCCGTGACAGCAGGCTCGGCACTGGATGAGACTTGCTTGATAGGAACTTCCCGAAAGCGGTTTTTGGCAAAAGGATAGAAAACGGGCTGGGCATCTCCATCCTTTACAACGGCCTTTTCAAAGCCTGTTGATTAGAGCAAAATTCACATTTGCTCCCGAAATTTAGATGAATCTATGACTTATAATTAACTTGATTGTAAGGAAAACACTGGTCTTTCCTCAGATGTTGAATTCAGTCAAGTAGCCTTTACCTCTGTGTTTGTTAAAAGCTGAAATAAGTGTCCAGCCAGTGTGGCTCCATGGTTGAGTGTCATCCCTGCACCGAGAGGTTGCTGGTTTGATTCCCAGTCAGGGCACATGTCCAGGTTGCGGGCCAAATCCTCGGTGGGTGGCACGCAGGAGGCGGCCCATTGATGTTCTCTCTCATCGATGTTTCTGTCTCCCTCTCCCTTTCTCTCTAAAATAAATAAAGAAAATTTTTTTAAAATAAAGCTGAAATAAGTCCTTACTCATTTAATTATAAGGACCAGGATCAAATAGGATATCCACTCTCATTTGGTTAATTTGGCAAATAAACTTGCTAGTGCCCCAGATGAGCCACCTAGAAATAAGACCATTAGGATTTTAAGCTATAGGTCTCCATGCCCTCTTTCTTTTTTTAGGTATGTTTTCACTTATGTATTTATGTATTTTTTAGAGAGAGGAAGGAAGAGGGAGAGATGGAAACATTGATGAGAGAGAAACATTGATTGATTAGCTGCCTCCTCTTTGCTCCCTACAGGGGATCGAGCCTCAACCTGGGCATGCGCCCTGACCTGGAATTGAACCAGCCACCTCTTGGTGGGTGGGTTGATGCTCAAACGCCGAGCCGCACCGCCTGGGCCATGCCCTCTGTCTTCTTCATGGTTTACCCCTGTGAATTGTAGCCATCGTGGCCTCCCGGAGTCATGCAGTCCGCTCGGGGCGACAAGCGGGCTCTGCCCGAGTTCTCCCTCCTCGCTGTCCATCCTGAAAGCTCTCCAAGGAGCAAGCTGGAGCAACCATTTCCACGTGCTGGAAACAGGTGGGTTGTTTCTGAAGTCCAGGTTGGAAGAAGTGGCTCGGAGACATGGATATAAAAAGTTGGATCCCGGGTAGGGGGACGGGTTGGGGAGAAGGGGGTCTGGGGGGGTGGTTAAGGGAGAAACATCTGTAACAAAAATAAATTAATGAAAATTGGGGAAAAATTATAATTAAATAAATGATGTTAACCACAAAGGTAAAAAAAAAATAAATTTAAAAAAAGTTGGATCCCGCCCGTGTGGCTCAGTGGATTGAGCGTCTTCCCATGGACTGAGAGGGCCCAGTTCGATTCCCAGTCAGGGCACATGCCTGGGTTGCAGGCTGCATCCCTAGTGGGCGTGAGCAGGAGGCAGCCGATGGATGTTTCTGTCTTACATCAATGTTTCTCTCTCTCTCTCCCTTCCTCTCTCTCTAAAAAATCAATAAAAACATATTTTTTAAAAAAGTTGGATCCCATCCTGGCCAGTGTGGGGCAGTGGTTAGAGTGTGGGCCCACGCACTGAAGGGTCTTGGTTTTGATTCTCTGTCAAGGGCACATTACTGGGTTGCGGGTTCAATCTCCCACCCCAATCCAGGCATGTGTAGGAGGCAGCCAATCAGTATGTCCCTCTCACATCCATGTTTCTCTCTCTCTCTCCCCCGCTCTCTTCCTCCCTTCCTTCTACTCTCTTTAAAAATCAATGGAAGCCCGGCCAGGGTGGCTCAGTGGTTGAGCGTCGACCCTGCACCAAGGGGTCGCCAGTTCAATTCCTGGTCAGGGCACATGCCCAGGTTGTGGGCCCGATCCCCAGTGGGGGGCATGCAGGAGGCGGCGAATTGATGTTCTCTCTCATTGATGTTTCTCTCTTTCTCTTCCTCTCCCTTCCTCTCTCTCTCTAAAATCAATAAAGAAAAAAAAAAATTTTTTTTTTAATTAAAAAAAAAAAAATCAATGGAAAAAGCCCTGGCCGGTTTGGCTCAGCAGTTAGAGCATCGGCCTGCGGTCCAGAGAGACCTGGGTTCGGATCCTGTGAAGGGCACATACCTCGGTTGCAGTTTGTCCCCGGCCCTGGTTGGGTTGTGCAGGTGGCAGCCACTCGATGTGTCCCTTTCACATTGATGTTTCTCTCTCTCTCTCTCCCCCTCCCCCTCAATCTGAACAAAAAATGGAAAAATGTCCTCGGATGAGGATAAAAAATAATTATAATAATAAATAAAAATCAATGGAAAAAGCCCTGGCAGGTTTGGCTCAGCAGTTAGAGCGTTGGCCTGCAGTCCCGAGAGACCTGGGTTCGGTTCCCGCTAAGGGCATGTGTCTCAGTTGCAGTTTGTCCCCGGCCCTGGTTGGGTTGTACGGGTGGCAGCCACTCGATGTGTCTCTTTCACATTGATGTTCCTCTCTCTCTCTCTCCCTTCCACTCTTTCTGAACAAGAAAATGGAAAGGTGTCCTCAGGTGAGGATAAAAAAAAAAAAAATCAATGGAAGAAATATTCTCAGGTGAGGATTAACAAGACAAAAAAGAGTCGGATCCCTACCTCATACCATGTACAAAGATGACCTCTAGATAGGTTAAAGCTATAAACACAAATAGTAAAGTCACAAAGCCAATAAAAAAGATATAGGGATATGTTTTGTATGCTTTGGGTGTGTAAGGATTGCTCAAGACCAAAACAACACACACAACAACCTGGAGGAAAAAATAACAGTTCTGACGTTAGCGAAAGTCAGGATTTCCTGTCAGCAAAGGGCACTATTGGCAATGTTGGCACATGTGTAACATGGGAACTGGTCAGCGACGTGCCTAGAACTGCTGGACACGGCACCCACTAAGCATACGTGGTGGCATAAGTTAAACAACTAAAATTTAAAAGGCAGTTTCTCGCCCTGGCCAGTTTGGCTCAGCGTTGACCTGCGGACCAGAGAGTCCCGGGTTCGGTTCCCGCTAGGGGCATGTACCATGAAAAAAAAAAATGCAGTTTCTCAGTTACACCAGCCACATTTCAAGTCCTTGGTGCCCACATCAACGGGCCTCGGCTGAGGCTCGAGTTGTGTTCGCCACAAGGCTGTGCTGACGTCGGAACCCTGGTACTGGCGAGGGTGACCTTACTGGGAAATAGGGGTCTTTGCAGGTGTAATTAAATTAAGATGAGGTCATAACTGCTCCGAGTGGGCCCTGATCCAGTGAGTGGTGTCTTTATAAGAGAAAGGACATTTGGACACAGAGACAGAGGAGATACTCCGAGGAGAAGACCATTGGCAGACATCCTTGGACGCTGGAGCACTGAGTCCACAAGCCAAGGACCCAGCGCTCGTCGGCAGCTGCAGAAGGTGGACAGAGGCACCGACAGCTTTTCTGCAGAGCCTCCAGCAGGACCCAGCCCGGCCGCCTGGGAGCAACGGTCCCGTGGTTTTAAGCCCCTTCGTTTGTGGTCACTTGTTTCAGCAGCCAGCACAACCTAGACAAGACCATCCCCATCATTCCAGAAAGTCTTTTTGGACAGCGCTGGCCCAGAATATTCATGGAGCTCTTGAAAATCAAGAGGAAAGGTCATAGCAATAGGAAAATGTGCAGAGGGCCCGAAAAAGCGGTTTGTACCAGGGGGCGTTAAAGTGACTCATGAGAAGAGGAAGCCGTGCCCAACCTCTCCATTATTAGAAAAAAGCAAATGGAAATAAAACTGGGTTTCTAGCCTTGGCCAGTTTGGCTCAGCAGTTAGAGTGTCAGCCCTCAGAACAGAGGGTCACAGGTTTGATTCTTGGTCAAGGGCTTGTACCTGGGTTGCAGGTTTGATCCCAGCCCCTGTCAGGGTCATGCAGGAGGCAACCAATTAATGTGTCCCTCTCACATCGATGTTTCTTTCTTTCTTTCCCTCCCTCCCTCCCACTCTATCTGAAAATGGAAAAATATTCTCTGGTGAGGATTTAAAGAAAAAAGAAGAAACATTGAGATAATAGTGCAGCTGCCTGTGTCCTTCCCAGGGTGAAGACAAGGACTTGTGGAGGAGGGACACACTGGGATATTGTGCAGCGGCTGGAAACAAACTATTTGTGTGCACTGCGACATTGTTGCCTCTCAGAGATGTGGCAAGGAGGGAAAATAACCAGATCAGTAACAGGATGTCAAGGTAAATGATAAAACATGAATGTAAGGGCGCATCAGAATGGTCACCGATAAGGGAGAAGGGACCAGCAGGGGAGAACCTGTCAGACTGGACTCCAAGTGGGCAGAACACACTGGGCAGAGGAAGGAGGCAGTGTGAGGTGGGGAGGGGGACCCCATCCCAGGCGCAGAGCCCTGTAACAACACTTGTCCACGGCTAAGCTGGGAAGTTGGGGCAATATCACCGCCCACCACACCCTGCCTGGGAGTCCAGGCAAACGCCCTGTGTCCTGTGAGACAGGACGGAGTGGAAATCACATCCCTCAGATTTAGCGTCAGAAAAAAAGAGAACAAGATGTGTAGTAACATCCCTACCAATGAGGAACGCACACCGGAAAGACAGCCGGAAAACAGACAAAAATATTAACCGGGTATTTCATGCTGAGCTAAATGGAGTTAGAAAAACGGTAGCCCTGGCCGGTTTGGCTCAGCGGTTGGAGTGTTGGCCTAAGGACCAGAGAGTCCCGGGTTCGGTTCCCGCTAGGGGCACATACCAAAAGAAAAAGAAAAACGGTAAAAGTCACAAAAGAACACCTGCATCAGAAATGGGGAACGTTTTTTTGCTCAGATTACTGGAAAAAGTAAAGATTTAAAAAGACCGCTGGTAAACTTAGAAATAAAAGGACAGCCCAGCCCGGGCCGGAGCCTCTCTCACTCAGCCAAGTGGGGCCTTGGAGCCTGATACATAACATTTGAAATACACACTTCAGTGTCCACAAGTAAAGTTTTATGAAGAATACAGCCATACTTGTTTACATATCGTCTGACTGCTATCTAGCTATGAGGGATCATTTGAGTTTCAACAGAAACCATTTACTCTGGTTGTTAAAGAAAAAGTTTGCTGACTTCTGATCTTGGATCTCGGAGCGTCAGCCCGCGGTCCAGAGAGACCCGGGTTCGGTTCCCGCTAAGGGCATGTACCTCGGTTGCAGTTTGTCTCCGGCCCTGGTTGGGTCGTGTGGGTGATGGCCACTCGATATGTCCCTTTCATGTCGATGTTTCTCTCTGTCTCCCTCTCACTCTATCGGAACAAAAAATGGAAAGGTGTCCTCGGGTGAGGATAAAAAGCAAAGCAAAGCAGGGGAAGCCAGAGAGGAGGCTGCAGAGACAACCTTGGAGCCCCTGACTTGGAAACTTAGTAACATGGGCACCCCTGGATCCCACTGGAAAGTGAGAGTCAGGATGGCAGGTGGATGGGGAAAGATGGTTTTTCCATCGTCTCTGTTTCTGACCTGGCAGAGAAAATGTACAAGCACAAGGTGGAGCTAGAGAAAAGGTATTTGAGGTCTGTGTGTGCCACCTTTCGTGTGGTACTGCCACCCTGGTGTGCTGGCAGCCACAGCCTCCCCCAGCCTCCCACCTGGCACGAGCAGGTCCCTTGGCATCAGGAAGCCACCAGAAGCGATGACAGTGGGAACAGCACAGGCACAGGAGCGGGAAGCCGCTTAGAGACCCAGAACGTTCCAGCAGGAGGATGGACAGGTGACCCGTCCCTCCTTGCTTTGCTCCATCGGGAGCCTGACATCCAGGCAGGAATGACCTGAGTCACAAGCAGAGATGGAGTTAACTTCAGGGCCCCCAACTCCCAGGGCACATGCTGTCTGGGGAAGAGAACTTACAAGGCCCACAGTCCAGGGACCAATGGCCATAGGGGTCACTGGGTGCCACTGTTTCTCAGAGGGAAGCCGGGGCCTCAGGGAAGAGGCTGTGCCCCGTGTACCCCTGGCAGTGTGGCCCCTGCTTGGGAGGTTCAGACAGCTGTGTCTACACTAGTGCTCCGGGCTGTGGGCGTCCCTCCCAGGAGCCCCACTTTCTGAACACGCAGGGCAGGATGGCGTGCCCAAGAGGGGCGCCCCCCCCACACAGAGAGCCTCTGTCTCCCCTTTGCTGGGCCCTCAGGTGACGTCAACCCGCTGTCCTGGTGAGCGGACCTCCCCTGTGTGCTCGTCAGCTTCCGTGGTGACCAGTGTGTTTTTTTTTTTTTTTTTTTTTTTTTTTTTATCCTCACCGGAGGACATTTTTCCTTTTTTTTTTTTTTTTTTGTTCAGGTAGAGTGGGAGGGAGAGAGAGGAACAAAGAGAGAGAGAGAAACATCGATGTGAAAGGAACACATCGAGTGGCTGCCACCCACACAACCGACCAGGGCCGGGGACAAACTGCAACCGAGGTACGTGCCCTTAGCGGGAACCGAACCCGGGTCTCTCAGGACCGCAGGCCGACGCTCTAACCGCTGAGCCAAACCGGCCAGGGCAACCAGTGTGTTTTGTTCCGTGTTCGTCTCCCAGGTCACGAAGAAGCCCACCCTTTGCCATCTGGAAGTGAGAACAGACCACGTTTGCAGAACTGCCCGCCGTCACCCACAGCAACACCTCTCCTTCCCGCAGGACGGAGGGACCCGCCTCAGGGAGGGACAGTGACCTGCACGGCCACCCCCCTCGAGACGGAGCCCTTTCCACCTCTGGCTCCGAGGCCATGAGTGCTCACTTCGGGTCCTTTCCCGTCTGGCGACCTTTGGCCCACCGGGACTTCCCCATGGCCTGGGTCCATTTTGTTTAATGGACTCTGGACTCTTTTATTATTATTATTTTAAAAATATATTTTATTGCTCTGGCCGGTTTGGCTCAGCAGTTAGAGCGTTGGCCTGCGGTCTGGAGAGACCCAGGTTCGGTTCCCGCTAAGGGCATGTACCTCGGTTGCAGTTTGTCCCCGGCCCTGGTTGTCGTGCGGGTGGCAGCCACTCGATGTGTCCCTTTCACGTCGATGTTTCTCTCTCTCTCTCTTCCTCCCACTCTATCTGGAAAAAAAAAAAAAAGGAAAAATGTCCTCGGGTGAGGATAAAAAAAAATATATATATATACATTTTATTGATTTTTTAGAGAGAGAAGGGAGAGATAGAAACATCGATGTGGTTGGCTGTCTCCTGCACACCCCTTACTGGGGATCAAACCCACAACCCGGGCATGTGCCCTGACGGGGGAATCTAACCAGAACTCTCAGTCCACGGGACGATGCTCCATTCACTAGCCGGGCAACTCTGGACTCTTAAAGGGATCTGATCCTTTTGAATTTTGCACAGCCCTAGATAGAATTCCTTCGGATAAAACGGTCTTTGCTCCTGATTATAAGAACTCTATGGCACATGTGTCAATATGTTTGTGTAATTCGTGCAAAGTTGGTGCACACGCCAATGAAAGCAGTCCACGCAGCTGCTGCTCTCCGTACAGGCCATGATCAGAAAGGGAGACGGGTACAGGGAGGCTCCTCCAGGAAGTGGGGATGAAGGGGTCTGGACAAGGTGGACCAGCGGGTCCCTGCACCCCTGGGAGGACGGTAGGGCCCCATGCGGAAGGAGCAGTTTGTGGGGATGACTGAGTTCAGAAGCAGAAGTGCTCAGCTGGCCACCAGGTGCCAACCATCTCCCAGGCCAGGTTCACCCACTGGACCCTGCTGGGCTGGCAGCTGGACTCTGGGCCTCCAAAAAGCCCCTGGGGCCCTGGCCGGTTTGTCTCAGAAGTTAGAGCATTCATTGGCCCTCAAACCAAAGAGTCGCGGGTTCAATCCAGGGTCCTGCGCAAGGCAACCAATCAATGTTTCTCTCTATCCCCCTCTCTCCCTCCCACTCTATCTAAAAATCAAACAAACAAACAAACAAAAAATCAAAGGAAAAATATTCTCAGGTAAGGATTAAAATAAATAAATAAATAAAAAACAAAAAGACCCTGGAACAGAGGCCTGAAATCCTATCTCTGGAGAAGGCTGTGGGTCAGGCTGCCTCTCCATCCGCTGATGGGACAGGTCTGTGGTCCCGGCCAGTGTGAACTCGAACCCATAACCAGGGCTCCAAATCAGGTGGAGGTCCAGGAGAGGGGTAGGAGGCCAGGAGAGCACCCAGGAGCTAGAGGATGGATGCCAGGGAGCCTCAGATGGGGGCTGCCAGGGGCTCCCTCCTGTGGAATACAACTGAACCCCCTTCACAGGTGTCCTGGGAGAGGCTCTCATCTGACTGCTGGAAGTAGAAAACCCCCCCACACACATTGGTGCACCCCTCCCCCCCATGAGTCACTCCAGAGCCTGCTCTCCGATCGAGGCTGGTTTTGCTTCTCAGGGTCACAGAACCTGCAGGATCTCAAGGGCAGACTCGGTGAGGGCAGGCCCAGAGGGAGGGGTGGTGGTGAGCTAGGACATGTCACACACGGGGGGACCCAGGACTACCCTCTGTCCCCTGCAGCTCCAGCACTGCATTGGGGGCCCAGGCCAGAGAGGGGGCTTTTCCTGGAACTGCCCAACTGCTGCTGGTCACAGCTCCAGTGGGTCACCCTGGAACGGCCATTTCTGACTGCAGCAGATGCCTCCCGCCCAGCCCCACCCAACGCTGCAGGCCCAGCAGATGTTTTCCCAAGTCCGAAGGAGGGCAGGCCCTCAGTGCGACAGCCTGCCTATCCCTGCTCCAAGGGCAGGGACCTGAGCACCCAGCCTCGAGCTGGCCAAACCTGACCTGACAAAGGTCTAAAGCCAGCCACTGGGCTGCTGCTCCAGAAGTTTGAAGGAGCTGAAGGCCCAGCTCTTCCCCTTCACCCTGCCCCCACCTCCCAAATAAGCACACGAGGCAGTGGTCTTAGTGTAAGAACGATGGGCATTTAGACACTGGGGCCAGGTTCACACCTGACCAGCGCCACGCCAGGGGCGGGCAGAGCGAAGACAGAGGTAGGGAGTGGGTGCTGCGGGGGCACCAGCCAGGGCCTGGGGTTGCTGGTGGCCACTGGGGTGAGGGTATGGGTGTGAAGGGTTAGCCACAGTGACTCCAGAAGTGCCAGGTCCAGGGTGGTCACAGTCAGGGGCTCATGGAGAGTGGGCATCGCCGGGTCGTCGACGCAGGAAGAAGCCTCAGCTAGGGTGTGCATCTGCCCGGAGAGGGGCAAGGCCAGCCTTCCATCCATAGTGGGTGTGTGGGGAGGCATCACTGGCCCCCAGCGCAAGAAGAGGTGGGGTGGTACAGTCCGTCATGCTGTGGTTGAGGCCTGGGATTCAGACCACAGTGCAAGATCCAGCTGGGCAAGGTTGGCATCTATTCTGCTCTCCGGGACCCAACACTGCCCTCTCAGACCAGGCCTCTCCCAGACACCTGCTCCTACTCACCAAAGTCCTCATCAGAGGCAGCACTGCAAAAAGACAAGGGGAGGTCCCAGCCCTGGAGAGCTGCTAGCTTCCCCCAAGGTCAGAGGACACTCACCCCTGGAGCAGCTGGATGCCAGGCCCTGCCTGCTGAGCTACATTATGTCTCCCAGCTTGCCAGACACTCACACAGGGACACACCATGGACCGCTGTTTACTGAGGCTCCTGCAAAGCTTGAAGGGAGGTACTCAGGGGGACTCTGGCCCAAAGCGCACACAGCCAGACAATCTCAGAGCCACAGATCCCCTTGGACTGCACGGGACAGGGTGGTTGGCTCCTGCAGTGGGCCAGAGATACTAAGGCACAAGGCTAACCTAAGCCCACAGGGGTGGGGGTGGAGAGAGGAGAAGCTCCGAGGGGGCCTCGAGCGGCAAAGCGCAGTGACCAAGCAATGAAGGCAGCCTGGTTACTCCAACTTGGTACAGGCTGGAGACGCAGGGTGACAACCGGGGGTGCCAAAGGCTCTTGCTAGAAGGGGCTCTAAATCCCGGCGGCCCCTATACAGGCCTCTGGAGAGTGGGAAGAGCCCTGGATGTGGCTGGCACCCCTGCCCAGGCCCAAGGGCCAGTCCCGAACTGGATTCTGGGAAGCGGATGCCGGGCTGGTCAAGTCGTGGGATGACTCCAAGGCCCTGGCTCGGGCCGGCCGGTGCCCTATCCATCTCCGGCAAGCCCCGCGTGGAAATCCTAAGAAGGGAGCAGGAACCAGGAGGGCAGAGCGGACCTGGGGTCACCCGCGCACTTGTCGGCAGACAGAGCCCCGGTGGGCAGCCGTCTCCAGCTTCAGGGTTGCCTGCGCAGGCCCGGACGCCCGAAGGCCGGGTGCATGAGGTTCTCGGTGATGTAGGCCACGAGCAGGCAGATGACCACGAGCATGACGCAGATGGAGCCGCCCACCGCCGTCATGGCCACAACGATCTCCCGCATGCCGGCCGGCTCGGCGGCGAACTCCACGCACTCGGTGGGCCCGGAGGACTCCGGGCCGGCGGCGGCGGCGTGCTCGGGGCGCAGCGGCAGCAGCTGCAGGCACAGACGGTAGCGCACGCCGTCATGCACGTCAGGCAGCAGGTAGTCGCGGCAGGAGGCGCCAAGCAGCACGCGCTCGCACGGGAAGCGCGTGTAGGCGCCGCGCCACGAGCAGTTGAGTGCGAAGGCGCGAACGCGGCGCGCCTCGGCGGGCGGCAGGCGCCACTGCAGCAGCACGCTGCGGTTGCGCAGGACGCTGGCGCGCAGCAAGTGGCCGGCCGAGGCGTGCACCGTGCAGCCGGGCTCCTGGCAGCGGAAGCCGCGCGCGGGGCTGCGGAAGCACAGGCGCCCGCCGCCTGCCTCGGTGTTCTCGGGCAGCACCTTGTAGGGGCACCAGGGCGCGTCGGCCGCCGGCTCCCAGCCTGGGGGCGTCGGGGCGGCCGCGGCGCAGGGCGGCAGCGCGCAGGCGGCCAGCAGCAGCAGCAGCAGCGGCGGCGGGGCGCGCATCCTGCGGCTGGGCCGGGCGCGGCGGGGTGCGGCGGGGCGCGGAGTCGCGGGCGCTCGGGCGCGGGCAGAGGGTCACGCGGGCCGCGCCGCCGCCGGCGCCGCCGCTCCCCGCGTTCGCCCGCCGCACCGCGCCCTCCGTCGCCGCCCGCTCCGACCCGCCCCCGCGCCCAGTGCGCACTCGGACCCGGCGCGGCGGCGGCGGCGGAGGCGGGGCCGCCCCACGCCCCGCCCCCTTTAACCCTCGCTGGGCCGTGGCCTGTCGGTCCCCGGAGGACGGATCTCAGGGGAGAGCAGACGCCCGGCGGCGGTCGTGAACCCTGGGGCGGGCCACCGCGGCTTTGAGATTCCCATCCCGGACCGCTCGGGTGGTGGGCTCCGCGCAGGTCCACGGCTCCTCGCCGTGTGAGCGCACTCCGGATCCCCGCCCCCTCCTTGCCCCTCCCAGGCTCACCCTTGGGCTGTGGTCCGGGGTCGTGGGCACGAGGGCAACGCCACGACTGCCTTAGGCCATGCCAGTCGGGGACCTGGTGCCTCAGGATGGGGAGGGGAGGCCTGAAATGCACAGGACCTCCAGGTCACGGTGGCCCGTCCCAGACTCGCGGTGGGGACCCAAAGTAGGGGTCTCGCCTGTTCTGACGGTGACAAGGCGAGGACGGAAACTTCCCTTTGCCCCCAGGGCTTCTGCTCCTTTAGCGTTGGACAGCGCCGACCAGGCAGGGCGCAAACGGATGAGGCTTTCTTTGGTGAAAAATGTTTTCACTCTTCACACAAAAGAGGCAGCTACAGGTCGGAACCCTCTACTCTGCTTTGGGGTAGACCTCCCGATGGTCTTGGAAGGGACTTAGGGCTGGACAAAGGGAACAGCCCCCCCCCCCTCAAGCCCACATTCTCCCACTCTTGTCTTCAGGATGGGCCCCCAAACCTTTGCCACTCAGTCCTATCCCTGCCTAGACCTAGTGCTCAAGACAGCCCGCCAGGGCCAGAGGACACCTGGCCTGACCTACCCAAGCAGAATCACTTCAGTTCAGGGAGCAGAGCCTGGCTGAGGGGCCACTCTGTGTCCTGGGCAGGGAGGCGAGGAGGGGTCCCTGGCAACTGTGCTCTGGACCCTGGGTCCTCTGGGTGCTGTTCTCACCTGGGGGAGGGAGAGGAGGAACTCGGTGCTCACCGAGTTATTGGTCTCCCGCTCTGGAACACCCACTCACTCATGGAGCTCTCCACAGACTCACTAGCCCCTGGTCATCCCCCAAAATTCCTGGTGAGCACCAGATCTCAAGGCCTCTACCAGAGTCTGAAGCCAAGGGTCAGGGTTAAAGGTTTGGAAAAGAGCCCTTCCTGGCCCTGCCCCTGGCTCCTCCTTCCCCCTCAGGCAGTGAAGGCCCGGGGCGGACCTTTGCCCCAGCTCTGTAGGGGACTCAGGAGCTCCCCCAGAGAAGCAGAAAGTAATGGTGACCCAGGGACCCCCATGACCCTACCAGGAACCCCTAGAGCATAGGGCAGCTTGCTCACATCGGTTCCAGTGGAAACCCGAGGCAACTGCAGATGCTCTACCTAAGGGGTAGGAGCACTTTTGGTGGGCAGAGCAGGGACGGGGGACAGTGCAGGGGGAGAGGGACCCCACGCCCTCTATGCCTTAGAGATGCTTGTGGAAGTTACGTGGCAGTACCTTATGGGTGGACAAACTTTTGCGTTTCGATGTCACAAACTTTGCAGCAAACAGACGCTTTCTGCACAAAGCGGCCTCGCCCCAGTCACAGGGATCAGCATCTTGACCATTATGGTGGCCTCGGGCAGGGGGCGCGCGGCGCGCAGACGGCGACCGCCACCTGCCGGTCGCGTGGAGTACTGCTGCGCGGGGCGTGGACTTGGGTGCTGGATGCACCTCGGGGTGTCCAGGGCCAGTTCTCCTTGGTTCCTTTCCCCTTTCAGAAATGCCCTGAGGGTTCTTGACTTTAAAAATACATACACAAGCTTTCCATTTTAAAACGTTTTCTGCCCTTTCAGTGCCCTTGGCTCATTTTCTCTTGTTCTTTTTTGTTTTGTTTTGTTTTGTTTTTGTTTTTGGTACATGCCCCTAGCAGGAACTGAACCCGGGACTCTCTGGTCCACAGGCAAATGTTACAACCGCTGAGCCAAACGGGCCTGGGCTTTTTTTTTTTTTTTTTTTTTTTATCCTCACCCGAGGACATTTTTCCATTTTTTGTTCAGGTAGAGTGGGAGGGAGAGAGAGGAACAGAGAGAGAGAGAGAGAAACATCGATGTGAAAGGAATACATCAAGTGGCTGCCACCCGCATAACCGACCAGGGCCTGGGACAAACTGCAGCCGAGGTACATGCCCTTAGCGGGAACCGAACCCGGGTCTCTCTGTACCGCAGGCCGACGCTCTAACCGCTGAGCCAAACTGGCCAGGGCCATTTTCCCTTGTTCTTGTCCATCAGTCTCTCTCTTTTTTTTTTTCATCAGCGTAGCCTCAGACTTTTGTAAGGTACAGATAGGTCTCCCAGTTTCTGGCCTCTGGCTTTACCTGGAGTGGTTCAGCAAAAACGCTTCTGTCTGCGCTTTGTCATTCCTGGATTTGGTGTTGAGGAAGTCTTCCCAGTCCTGAGGCTAAAAAGGCCTTGTCCTTTGGGTCCCCAGTACCTGCGTGGTTTTATTTAGTCTGCATCTAATTTTGGTCAACTCCAGATGTGTTCCTGTGTAAGGCACGAGCTTGGGACCCAACTTCATGATGAAACGCACCCCCTTCTGCCCTGGCCGGTTTGGCTCAGCGGTTGGAGCATCGGCCTGCGGACCAGAGAGTCCCGGGTCCGGTTCCCGCTAGGGGCATGTACTAAAATAAATAAATAAATAAATAAATAAATAAATAAATAAATAAATAAATAAAATAAACGCTCCCCCCCTTCTGCCCAAGATTTGCGGGGTGGCCTGTACTCCACAGGCATGGCCTACAGTGTCTCTGCCCTGTTTCCCACCATTTCATTTGTTCGGGTCTGAAAGTGCTTTACCATCCGGTAGGGCCAGTACTCCTTTATTTTATTTATTTATTTTTTTAGGGCTTGTTACTTTAACACGTATCGATCAAAAATAATAATAAAGGGGAGGGGAACTTTTCAACGTCATTCAGGATAACCATTTTCTGGTATAACGAGACATTATTCTCAAACAGTAACTTTCTTTTAAAAAAAGAAGCAACATCATGAAATCTAACTTTTAAAAAGTTTCACTGAATGTTTCAAATCTCTGGGAACAGCGATGGTGGTATAGTGGTGAGCATAGCTGCCTTCCAAATCTCTGGGAACAAATTATGTAGTAACCATTTGACCATTTTTTGCCTGAATAAATGCAAAATCTTGCAAGTCAATGCAGAGGCAGGCCTTATTGCAGAACCCTTCATTGCTTACTTATTTATTTTCCTTTATTGAGTTCAATTTTTTTTTTTTTTATCCTCACCCGAGGACATTTTTGCATTCATCTTCAGATACAGCGGGAGAGAGAGAGGAACAAAGACAGAGAAACATCGATGTGAGAGACATATTGAGTGGCTGCCACCCACACAACCCCAATGGGGCCAGGGACAAACTGCAACTGAGGTACGTGCCCTTAGCGGGAACCGAAACCAGGACTCTCTGGTCCGCAGGCCGATGCATTAACCACTGAGAAAAACTGACCAGGGCACGTACTTCAGTTGCAGTTTGTCCCTGGCCCTGGTGGGGTCGTGCGGGTGGCAACCACTTGATGTGTCCCTTTCACATCAAGGTTTCTCTCTCTCTCTCTTCCTCTCTTTCCCTCCCACTCTATCTGAAAAAAAAAGGAAAAATGTCCTCGGGTGAGGATTAAAAACAACAACAAATAATAATAATTTAAGAACATTATGTCTGGAAGAGGATGGTGTGCTTATAGTTCATGTTATAAAGTATTAACATCTACACACTATTTTTTTTATTTTTTATCCTCACCCGAGGACATTTTTGCATTTATCTTCAGATAGAGCGAGAGGGAGAGAGGGAGGAAGAGAGAGAGAGAAACATCGATGTGAGAGAGACACGTCGAGTGGTTGCCACCCACACAACCCCAACCAGGGCCGGGGACAAACTGCAAGCAAGGTATGTGCCCCCAGCAGGAACCAAATCCGGGACTCTCTGGTCTGCGGACCGACGCTCTAACTGCTGAGCCAAACCGGCCAGGGCTACACACTATTTTTTTTTTTATCCTCACCCGAGGACACTCTTCCATTTTTTGTTCAGGTAGAGTGGGAGGGAGAGAGAGGAACAGAGAGAGAGAGAGAAACATCGACGTGAAAGGAACACATCGAGTGGCCGCCACCCACACAACCGACCAGGGCCGGGGACAAACTGCAACTGAGGTACGCGCCCCTAGTGGGAACCGAACCCGGGTCTCTCAGGACCACAGGCCGACGCTCTAACCGCTGAACCAAACCAGCCAGGGCACACACTATTTTTTTTTGTTTTGTTTTGTTTATCCTCACCCGAGGATACTTTTCCATTTTTTGTACAGATAGAGTGGGAGGGAGAGAGAGGAAGGGAGAGAGAGAGAGAAACATTGACGTGAAGGGACACATCGAGTGGCTGCCACCCGCACGACCAACCAGGGCTGGGGACAAACTGCAACCGAAGTACGTGCCCTTAGTGGGAACTGAACCCGGGTGTCTCTGGACTGCAGGCCGACGCTCTAACCGCTGAGCCAAACTGGCCAGGGCACTATTTTTTTTTTTAAAGAAAAAGTAACACAAAGAAATAGTAATTCGGAGCAGCATTTGGAAAAAGTACACCTATTTACAGATGTTTTTATTTATTTTTTGTTAATCCTCACCCAAGGATATTTTTCCATTGCTTTTTTTTTTTTTTTTATTGAGTGGATAGGAGGGAGAGAAAGAGAAAGAAACATTAGTTGGTTGCCTCCTGCACAACCCTGACTGGGGCTGGGGGTTGAACCGGCAACTCAGGTACGTGCCCTTGACTGGGAATCAAACCCGAGACCC